GGGCGTGTGTGTGGTGGTGTTTGTTTGTGTGTGTGTGTGTGTGTGTGTGTGTGTATGTATGTATGTATGTATGTATGTATACTCTGTCTGTGTCTGTGTGTGTGTACTCTGTGTGCAGTGTATATGTATAATCTGAGTGTGTGTGTGTGTGTGTGTGTGTGTAGGCCGTGTGTGTTTACGCAGCCCGGTTTAACCCAATCCCCCAGCTCACATCAGACGTGTTAACCGATCACACATTAAATAAAACGCATTAACCCCGTTATATAAGCGTGATGAGTGTGTATAATGATGCGGAATAAACACACACAGACGCTTATGTAGCCGTTAGCTGCTGTGCTAACCCGCCAAACGCTCTCACCTTCAGTCAGTGTTTCTCTCTCTCTCTCTGTGTGTGTGTGTGTCTGGGTGTATCTCTCTCTCTGCCGCGGTACAAGCGCTGATAGCCGTCGCTTCGCGGTAACGGATGGCTCGCCGCGGGTTTCTGTGGGGTTTAATCGGCGTGTTTGTTGTTATTCTTCTTTCACCCGGCGGCGCCTATTGCAAGGCGGACGCGTTAATCGCGCGGTGTGGATCTGAGCGGCTTCCGTACCGTGACGCTGACGTCATGTCTCATTAACATAAAACGAAATGAACCTCTAATACTGACCATAAGGCTTTTATTTAAAAAAAAATAAATAAATAAAAAATATAGTGACTAACACATATTAATTGTGCTCTATATTTCGTGAATTACGCAGCCCGGTTTAACCCAATTCCCCAGCTCACGTCAGCCGCGTTAACCGATCACACATGAAATAAAACGCATTAAACCCTGCATATGTGTGTAATGAGTGTGTATAATGGTGCGGTATAAACCCACACAGACGCTGATGTAGCCGTTAGCCGCTGTGCTAACCCGCCAAACGCTCTCACCTTCAGTCAGTGGATCTCTCTCCCTCTCTCTCTCTGTCTGGGTGTATCTCTCCCTGCCGCTGCACAAACGCTGATGGCCCTCGGGACGCGGTAAAGGATGGCTCGCCGCGCGTTTCTTCGGGATTTAATCGGCGTGTTTGCTGTTATTCTTCTTTCACCGGCGGCGCCTGATGCATGGCGGACGCGTTAATCGCGCGGTGTGGCTCTGAGCGGCTTCCGTACCGTGACGCAGACGTCATGTCTCATTAACATAAAACAGAATGAAACTCTAATACTTACTATTAGAGTTATATATTAAATTTAAAGGTAACTATATTGACTAACACATATTATTTGTGATCTATATTTCGTGAATTAAGGTTTATGGGGGATATAGCTTAATTTTAGAGGCCTGTAATTCCTCCTGTGACCTGTAGGGGGAGACAAAGGTCAAATAACGGGTCATTCAGGTTCATTTGCCTCCCTGAGAAGTATCATGGTATCTATCTTGGTATTTGATATACTACAATCATTTGTGATTACCATATTCATACGTATTTGCATGCTACTCCATCGTACTCATAGAATACCGTGGTATTATCATCAAGGTAGCGTTCAAACCTATACATGTTGCTTACTGCATACTGCACTGTAAACATTGAATGCTCCCTACTATTAAAAAAGGTCACATAAGTAACATTGAGTTCAGTGAGCGGTGAACAGTTATCATTCTGGGGACGAACAAATCTGCTATTTTGAATTTTAATTAAAATGTATATTAGAAATTGAAGAATTTCTATTCAGTTTCATTATTTCAAATTAAATATTAAGCGAAGAAAGAGATGTATATCTTTGAGAGCATTGCATTGTGGGCATACAGTGTCCATTGTGGTCTGTTCTGTTGTATTTTGCACATTTTGTTAACTGTAACAGATCATCTGTTACAGAGATGAGACAAACTACAGGAGCGAGGTGAGCCGCCTGGCCGGGTGGTGCAGTGAAAACAATCTCTCTCTGAATGTGGAGAAGATGAAGGAGATTGTTGTTGACTTCAGGAGAGTGCGCACTCAAAATGCTCCTCTGACCGTCAATGGTGTGACTGTGGAGAGGGTGAGCAGCACCAAGTTCCTGGGTGTGCACATCACAGAGGAGTCTCCAGGCCAGGACCAGCAGACTGATCCCCCCCAGGACCCTTCCACTCCCACCTCCCAAATACACACACACACACACACACTGACCTGTACCAGTCACTTTGTGCAGCATTAGACTGCTCACTACCTCATCCAGCATTGCACTGCAAACTACCTCTCTGACAGTTTAATTAAAGACTGTTCTCTGAGCTCTTTAACACTTTAACAGACTGATAAGCTCTTTTGCACTACACTCGTTATATCTTCACAGTTGTTTATATCACTGGTTTGCACTATAACTTTAATGTGCCTTATGCCACTTTTTCACTTTTTTTTACAATGTCCTTATTTGTTTATTGTATAGGTTGTATTTTATATATATTTAAACTGTATTTATCTGTATTATGTCTACTATTAGTGTTAAGTGTTAACTGTATGCACCAAGGGTCTGAGAGTAACGCAATTTCAATTCTCTGTATGTATGTGCTGTACATGTGGAAGAATTGACAATAAAGCAGACTTTGACTTTTTGACTTTGATCTGTGTATTTTATTCAGATTAATTTGCATAATGTGCTGAATACAATACATACTGCAGAAAGTAGTATGTTAATATGATTTAAGCTAAGCTATCTGTTAGCATTTCCATTAATATTTCTAATATACATTTATAATTCAAATGTGCACGCTTTAAACTTTATATTAAAATGATCCTAAAATCCACATGACACCAATCTGTATCGCAATCAAAACTTTAATTCAGTTTGCTGTTATTAAATCAATGACCACAGAAGGGTATCACAAGTACAGAGATGAGCAGTTTTTAAATAGACTGACAAATAGGCTCTTCACTTTGGCTAAAATCTGCTATTCCTACGTTTCTGACACACATATATTTTCAGTATTTCATCGGAACAACTTTCCACAAACTCTCCACCTTCATTCTTCACATATAGGAAGGTTGGAATGGAAGTAGAAGGTGAGGACGGGCGGAGAGAAATAGGATCATGCAGTCCTTTAACATAATGAGCTGATTTCGCCCTTACTGCAGCCCCATTTACAGCAGGCATTGGACAGCCCAACGACCACATCCCGCCCCTTCCTGTCTGACGTGCGCAAGGCCTCCAGCACTTCCTCAGAGATGAGTGAGCGGGCGGGGCGGCTGAACACGGGGCTCTCCTGGCCCTCTCCTGCCCAGACAGGGGCCTCTGCGTCGGGACGGGGTCTGTATGACAGTCCAGGGATGAGAGGGTTGGCGACCCAGCTGTCAGAGGCCTCGTCGTCATGAGCGGAGAGCAGATCACTGGACAGATCACCTGATCAAAGAACAACACAGCAAAAATATGTCCCCATTATTGTTATATGTCCCCATAGTTAGTGGTAGTGATTCAAACAAACCCTAGTATTAAACTTCAGCACGTAACTCGTCATGCTAATGAGTTAATGTACTGTATATTGTACATGTACATTGAATGACGAACATGAGCCACAGAGACCAGAATATCACAGAAACTTGAGGTGAGACCACTGATCTATAATATATAGATCAGTGGGTGAGACACTTTTGGCAAGTAAACAACCATCTAGCAACCACCCCAAACACCCTAGCAACTGCATAGCAACACCCTGCCAACCAGCAGCATCATGTCAGGTCATTTTATGCACACGCACACACACACACACACACACACACATACATACATACTGTATATACCATAAAACCATTTTAATTAATAACCTAACTTTATTTGACCCTCAAACTCTAGCACTCTCTGTTCTATTTCTATTCTTTAAAAAAAACTTGCTATGTGTACTACGTTAAGCTAACTGAGATTTGTTATAGCACTTGTATATCATTGCTCTTTTGTTGATTTTGATTGCTTCCATTGTCTTCATTTGTAAGTCACTTTGGATAAAGGCGTCTGCTAAATGACTAAATGTAAATGTAACTTAATTATTAATAATATTTAATTAATAATAATAGTGTATACATATGTATATCTGTATATAATAAATAAATAATAAAATAACAATTTAATGAATAATGATTTAATTACTTAATAATATAAATTATTATTATTATTAAATAATATATATTTTTATTGTTGAACTCTAAAGATAAAAAAAGGTTAAAATAACTTACATAAAATGGGTTTGTGGATGTAGTTCAATTTGCCCTCTGAATGTATGTGTATTATCAATAATTATTATTATTAAATAAATAATGTATGTTTTTATTGTTGTAGCCAAATAGTCATTTAATTAACATTGTGTCAAAATATTAACTCAAAGCTATGCAGAAGCACAATTGAATAAATGTTATATATAAATGTATGTTGTATTTGGGTTCCTCTAAATGTGTGTGTATTGGATTGGATTTAACAAATATACAGTAAACAAAACGCTTGATATTTTTTATTTTTATTAATGTCTAACACTCACGTCTGTCTCATACCTGAAACATCCAGAGACCTCCTCCATCGCGAGCCTCCGCAGGTGAAGATGACCGCCCGGATGAACTCTCTGCCGCACAGCTTCACCCCGTAGATCGGGAGTCCGTCTGTGGCCTGAGCGCCTCCCAGCAGCGCCACCAGCAGGCCGAGTGTGAGAACTGCAGCTTTACACATGACGACGGCGATGAGAGTGAAAGTTCTGAAAGGGTTTCTCAGTGGTCCTTTCTGAGTTTGAAAGATGGTCTAACCTCTCATCGGCCTGGTGTGTCTTTTATAGGGGCTCATGGAGCCTGCGCTGTTTGCGTGTCAGTCAGATTGACCGTGATAGCAGGGCAGAGACCTTTAGAAAGACAAAGGCCTGGCCCAGCGCCTCTATAATGAGCCTGTGCACCTCTGTGGAGGTTATGGCCAACACAGCGACCTAATCTCATCACTCCTGACCTTTTTGTCATCATACACACTGTCGAATCACATAAAATGTTAAATAAATAATAAACTTGCATGCACACACTAATACAAGCGCTGCACTTTCAATTAGATGCATGCAAATACTCACATTATGAGTCTATAGGATTCATAAATGCCTTTCTAAACCCAGTTTATTATATTTTACCTTAATGCCAAATTGTTCAATCCTAGTTGTGAATTTTGTCTGTTTTTTTAGCCTATTTTGACATGCATACAGTATCTCACAGAAGTGAGTACACACCTCACATTTTTGTAAATATTTTATTATATCTTTTCATGTGACAACACTGAGGGAATGACTCTTTGCTACAATGTAAAGTAGTGAGTGTACAGCTTGTATAACAGTGTAAATTTGCTGTCCTCTTAAAATAACTCAACCCTGTAAAGATGATGCACAAGAAAAGCCTGCAAACAGTTTGCTAAAGACAAGCAGACTAAGGACATGGATTACTGGAACCATGTCCTGTGGTCTGATGAGACCAAGATAAACTTATTTGGTTCAGATGGTGTCAAGCGTGTGTGACGGCAACCAGGTGATGAGTACAAAGACAAGCGTGTCTTGCCTACAGTCAAGCATGGTGGTGGGAGTGTCATGGTCTGGGGCTGCATGAGTGCTGCCGGCACTGGGGAGCTACAGTTCATTGAGGGAACCATGAATGCCAACATGTACTGTGACATACTGAAGCAGAGCATGATCCCCTCCCTTCGGAGACTGGGCCGCAGGGCAGTACTCCAACATGATAACGACCCCAAACACACCTCCAAGACGACCACTGCCTTGCTAAAGAAGCTGAGGGTAAAGGTGATGGATTGGCCAAGCATGTCTCCAGACCTAAACCCTATTGAGCATCTCAAGATCTGTAACATCCACCAGCTCCGTGATCCCGTCATGGAGGAGTGGAAGAGGACTCCAGTGGCAACCTAGGAAGCTCTGGTGAACTCCATGCCCAAGAGGGTTAAGGCAGTGCTGGAAAATAATGGTGGCCACACAAAATATTCACACTGAGTAGACACACTGAGGAAGGCTTTGAGCCGAAACGTTTGTGTCTTTTCCCGTCAGTAATGAATGTAAAATAAAAGAAAAAAGAAGATTGTTCTCGTGAGTGCGGATAATAATTTCTTACACACAAAATATTGACACTTTGGGCCCAATTTGGACATTTTCACTTAGGGGTGTACTCA